ATTAGCTAAATTAAAAATCCTGAAAACTTTTGCTTTTTGATACTTACAGTAATGATACCCCCTCCTCTTTTCCAGTGCTACTTATGTTAAGGCTGTAGCTGACAAGCCCATGCATCTAGAGCTGCAAGGTTCATGGACTGTCAGTGTAGGGGACCAGGACCAGTGCGTCCACTTGTGGAAATATGCTGGGGGCTATTCGGCCATCGATGGAGCCAACAAAATTTTGACCAGTGATTCTGTAAGCTGTCTTCATCTCTGCTCTCCCTCTTCCTTCTGCTCGTCCTCCTCCTCCTCCTCCCTCTTCTCTTTTCCCATCATTGCTTTACTCATCCTTTCTTTCTAACTCTTTTTGTCTTTTTTTTTCCCTGTGTCTGTTAAATTACATATAGTTCATTATTTATTTTTCACTCTTTGGTTTTCGTTCTTTCTGTTATAGAATTGAATATAGCTATTTAAGTGATTACCTTCTACATTTTTTTATGATTTTTCATTTAAGTGTTTATAAAGTCCAATAAATAGATTGCCTACCAAGTGCACAAAGTTATGGTTATACAGAAATACCTAACAGGAGACACTAGTAAAAGATGGACATACATTTTTTACAATGCCTTGTATTACATATATTGATGGTAAATTGTTAGAAATATGCAACTATGCAAAAATGACATATGTTATTGAGAATGAGTAACTCCTCAAAGCAAGACTTAATTATTGCTTAGGATTACATGATGTTCATTTTCTCAGTATTGCAACTTAAGAATTACTGAAGGTGTGGTCTATTAAGTTCATTGTGGATTCAAAATTGTGAAATCCCTCAGTCATCGCCAAATTTGTTTTATTGTTTGCAGTGGGCACTTTGAAGGCAATCTTGCCATATTCAGTATAAAGAAGTGGAGTCTTTAAATCTTCAATAGGAGTTTAGATTTACAAAATAGACGGACAAGTAGATAACTTAAACCAAAAGAGTAAGTAAAGCTTGGAATGTGAGTAGTCGTACACTGAAAGAAAAAGACGCTATCTCGAACCCTATTGACAGGACCTGACCAGTCTGATCAAGGACAGAAACCAGTTTTTACGTCAACGCTCAAATCAATTCCTGTTACCCTTCAGCTTCTGGCCGCCAGTCACACCTCGTGATGGAGGAAACATATATGAAATTCGTTCGTACTTCCTGAAGGTATGCTGCTCTCTCGCATTGTTGGGTTGAGGGGATGTTTGTTCTGATTAGCATTTGGACAGATTTGTCTACCTTTGGTGCTATGTGAACAATTTGCCTGTAATATATTTGAGTGAGTATGAGAGTAATAGAGAGTGAGTGCGTATGAGAGTAATAGAGAGTGAGTGCGTATGAGAGAAATAGAGAGTGAGTGCATATGATAGTATGAGAGAGTGAGTGGGTATGAGAGTATGAGAGTGAGTGGGTATGAGAGTATGAGAGTGAGTGTGTATGAGAGAGTGGGAAGAGAGGGAGTGAGTGGGTATGAGAGTATGATGAGTGATGAGAGATGAGTATGAGAGTGAGTGCGTATGAGAGTGATAGAGTGAGTGCCGTATGAGAGAAATAGAGTATGTGAGTGCCATATTGATAGTATGAGAGAGTGAGTGGGATATAGTAGTATTATGAGAGTAATAAGTGAGTGAGTATGTGAGGTGAGTGGTATGAGAGTATGAGAGTATGAGCGAGAGTGAGTGTGTATGAGAGTATGAATGAGAAGTGAGTGAGTAGTGAAGTAAGTATGAGTGAGTGAGTATGAGAGTGAGAGAGTGAGTGAGTATGAGAATATAAGAGTGTGTGTGAGTGAGTGAGTATGAGAGTGAATGAGTATGAGAGTATGAGAGATGTGAGAGATGACTGTAGGTGAGATAGTGTAGTATGAGATGTGATGTGTATGTGAGTGAGTTATGAATGAGTATGATGAGTATGAGAGAGTGAGTGAGTATGAGAGTATGTGAGTGAGTATGAAATTGAGTGAGTGAGAGTGAATGAGATGAAGAGTATGAGGAGGTCTAGAGACTAATAAATGCAGCTGTATATCACCTGTGATTGTTAATGGTTTACCTTTAACATGTCAGCTAATCTTATCATTTTGTTCGATCTTAATAAGAATTGTTTTTCTATTATATATTTTTCTCATCTTGTACAGATATTTTTGACAATGGCAGTAGTAGTATTTAATTTCATAATTGGAGTCATGTATATAAAGTTGCTGTATCCTCTTGCTGCTACTATTCTTAGGCACCTATTGTCAATATATGTTGCATGGCGATAGGGAAGTGGACCACCGAGCATCAAGATAAAGTTTAAAGCCCAATGTAATCCATTTCTTCGAGAGAAAAATGATTTGGTTCACAAACCTGCGCTCCAGCCAGGCACCACCATGATTGAGTGAGAGCAAGCAACTAGGGCTCGAGAGCCATCACTTCCGTCAGGCAAACAACGAGGCCTTTGGCGGCTTCTTCTCGCAGGTGGGACGGCTCTACAACGTCCACCACATTTGGTGTAAGTGTTGCCAAGATAGTGCATGCTGTCTCTAAGCCTTCATTCTCCTAGGCTTTCTGCATTTATTCGGTTGTAGCAGCAGTTGATCAAAGGCTCATGCAGGGACATAGGCAATTATTTTTGTGTTATGTATCATATATTTCTTCCAATTTCTGCTCTCAAATTTTCAACTAGTTACAACTTCTCGTTTTTATCTATGTAGCAGATCACAACAATTGTGATTTAGTTTTTTTCCAAGACAACAACTTGCTTTGTTACTTCAACAGATGTTGTAGTCATGAATGCCACACTTAGAGAGAGGCAGTTCTTATTCTTACTTGGAATCTTGAAACAGGTTGTGTGTGCTTTAGAGCAACCTTCACTGCACACACTGCACTTTTTGAACTTAGTTTCTTGTAAGAACCTAAATGGAATTTGCTTTCTCCGTTAAGAGTTTATAAAATAGACTCAATTGATGCAGTTAGTTTTAGATTTGTGCAGGAACTAAAATAAAGATAAAACGGTTCTTCATAACAGTGGGAGTTTCTAAATCCTTGATAGGTTGCATTATTATATCTTCTGGGGTCATGCATTTTGCATTATTGTTTTTATTAACCCTTCCCCCCTCAGAAAAAAGAAAGATAAAATCTTATCTTCAAAGCCTGCCACAAATCAAGACAGCTGGCCCAGTTGCATTTTATTTAGACATTTTTTTTGGCTTAGCTTTTTTTGTCAGATATCCTTGCCTAACCCCTTTACTGCCATGATACTATAGCATTGGTGAAAAAAAGGGAGCTCAATTGCCCATTTAGAGCAGCCCACTCGGACTAACACAGCTGGAAGTTTTTGGCCAAAAAATAGTTAGTTATTGAAAAGTATATTCTAAACTCCCTGGAGGACTTGTCTGATTTTATTTAGAGGAAAAAAAATCAAAATCTAAATGCCAGCTAGATATTAATTGACCCTTTGATCTGGATGTTTCATTGCCATCATTTGGCTCAAAATATGGGTGTTAGGTTTAGTTGAGCTGCCGCTCTGTTGGGTGTGCAGCTTTTAGGCCGGGTGCACAAGAACACTCATGTGCGGTGATAAGACCAAGTCCCTCCCATTTGCAAAGTTATTTTCTATTTTTCTGTAGATTTGTGTTTATAGCTTTTTTACTCTTTCCTGGTTTCTATATTGGTCATTTGATTTGCTTTATCCAGATGGTAATAAACTGTTTTACTTGTATGGACTCTGTATTATCTCTCTAGATAGTCCATAACTCAGGGCAACAATAATAACAATAATTAACACTTATTTATTTGTCTTTTTTTATATCAAATTTTCTGTAATACAATCTGGGCTGCTGGTCATGGTGGAATAGGAATAGGATCCAGAGCATGGAATAGGGGTCCTCCCTTTAGCTGGTGCTCTTCCAGTCATGGCTCGTGGATGGTACATTCCACACTTGTGTATCGATGGAAATTATGGAATAGTTTCTTCCTGAGTGCCCATTGAGTCTAATCACCCTTCAAGAGTTTTGTGCACTTGTTGCGGGTTATTCCTGTCACCCCGATCTTCACCAGAATTTCTCATGATGGCAAGTTGCTGTCAGCCTGGCCCTCAGCCAAATTATCTCATGACGACATGATGTCACCTGCCCTTCAAGCTAAATTTTTACATGACATGATGGTCAAGCTGGTCTGGTCATGTCATCCAGATCATAGGTGCTAATATTTGTGGCCAAGAAATTGAAAGTATTTCACCTCTGTCCTTTGGTGTCAGATATAGTTAGGATTTTTAATGTATGTAGATTTTTCTCTGTTCTGCCTCTTATCAAAGAAAAGTAATATGTTGTAAAGGAATTACTCAGGTTAGCAAGAGTAAATACCAGGAAAATCTTTTTTTTTTTTTTTTTTAGAGTCTTAGAGAGAGCACCTACTGCCACGTAATCTGAGGGTGTGATCACGGGCAAAGCTTTCACTGTTAGGTATCATTTATATTGTAAATACCGTGGTGAATTTTATTTTTTATTATTATTTATTTTTTTTTCACCCTTTTGTTTATGATTTTTTTTTTTTTTTTTTTTTTTTTTTTTTGTCTTTTTTTTCACCCCTTTTTTATTTCCTTGTTTTGTCTGTCTACGTAGCGGTTATTCTTTTCTTTTTCCTTACATAGATAATTTGAGTATTGAGTAACATATTAAATATATGATGAGTATAGTATTAATATACTGACTATACTATATACTACTGTATCAATATACTAAGGTATCTATATATCATTCGTCAGATGTAATATTGTCTAATTGGTTATAATAGTACTACTATATTAATATATAATATATAAATATATGTCCAAGTTAATTTAGTGCCAAGTGTTCAAGGAACGAACGTGAATATACCTCCTTTATTAAAAATTAAGACACAATGAAATAGTTTAGCCCCCTTTAAATAAGATAGTTTTCGCCTTTTTATTCTTTTCTATTCCTTATACATGTCTCTCTCTATGATTACTTAAGACTACTCCTTAACCTCTTATTATTATTAATATATATATATAACTGTATATGTGCTGTGTGTGTGTGAGTGGTGTGATGTGAGTCATACTTATGTTGATCTGTGGTTGTGTGAGGTAGTGGTAGTTGGTATATTACTAAAACCTCATATATGAGTGTATTGGTGAGGTTTTTTATATTAGTATCATCAATAATATATTAAAATTAATATATATATTAATATATATATAATTATATATATATAAATATATAATTTGTACTATATTATAAATTAATTAACTATTATTACTAAATATATATTACCTATATAATATATTTAATATTTATATTAGATATATATTATAAATGCATATTTATATATATATATAATTTAACTATATAACATAGTAATATATATATATTATAACAACATATTAATATACTATAATACCTATATATTATATATTATATATGAAGAGAGAGAGATTATGTGATGAAGTAGAGAGGAGAGAGAATAGTAATATTAATTAGATATAAGATAGATATAGATAGATGATAGATAACATACTTTTACATATATAATATTCGAGATCATTTTAATTCCTTTTTACTTTTTATTTTATCTTATTATTTTTGTACCTGCTTCCTTCTACCTGTGAAGCTCTTTATATTTATCATTTTATTAAATAAGTAAAATAAACACAAAAAGTCGTACTCATAGTAAGAAAAAATGGTATCCAAGTATTTCACACAATAATTTCCAATTGAAAAAAATAATCTATCAATGTATTAAGATACCTTTGTTTTACTCGTCTCATATACAGCAGTTACAGGTATATATAATAGTAAGTATAGGCACTAAAACACACTAATCACTAACATCTAATTAACTATTAGATAACTAAATCATAGGGTCACCCAAACCGCGCGGCGGCCTTTCAATACAACGAGTATGTGTATATAAGTAGAGTGGAATAAGTTCTCGCCTATGATATATACCATAATATAACTATATATATCATATATAATATAACAGATGTATATCAGTATTAAATGGAGTGGACCATACGAAGATATATTACTATCTACTCTCCTGATCTTCACTCAGCAAGATAGTAATAAAGAGTATATGAGTCTATATATAATATCGCGATAAAGTAGAAAATCATACTAAATCTACATAGTATAGAAGTAGTTATAGTAAGTAAGCGTATTAAAATATAAGAGTAAGATAGAATTATTGTGAGGAGTAATTAAATACACCCGCTAGAATAACATATAAATATATCGATATACGATATAATATATAGACATACAATATTGAGGATGAGGAAATAAGAATAGAATATAATAGAGAATAATAGTAAAGATAATGAAATAGCAAAATTAAAAGTATACATAACCTCCTCTCAAAAAACCAGACCTAGCGAATAATACAAGTATATATATTAGGATAATAGAACACACAAAACTAGACCCACCTCGAAATAAATAAGAAACTAAAAACAACATGAATTGTTGTGGAAGAATGGAAAAAAAAAAAGAGAAAGACAGAAAAAAAATAAGCCAAATAGAAGCGAGAGAGAGAGAGACAGACAGGTACAGACAGACAGAGACAGACAGACAGACCAGAGCAGAGCAGACAGACAGACAGACAGACAGACAGACAGACCAGAGGAGAGGCAGATAGAGAGAGAGTATGTGAATATATATATGAATATATATAGTATATATATAATAATGTATAATATATATATATATATATATCATGATCTATATATATATATATCATGAGTAAATTAGTAATATATCATGATAGGTATATATATATATATATATATATACTACTATATATATATATTATATATATATATGATATATATATATACATATATATATATATATATATATATATATATATATATATGTACATATATGTACATATATAACATGTACATAAGCACATGCATGTGCACACACACACACACTCTCACACAGTAAATCAAGTTTAGTTACTTAGTTTTATTAATACTTTTAACATGCATCAGACTTTGTTTTGTAGGGTACTGATTTCCATAATTCACAGTAGGAATTTATATATGGGTGATCTTACATAACTAACTGGTGAGGAAGTGAAAGATCATTCACATTTTTTAGAATGGACCAAAAACTTATAGTAGCATCTTATACAAGTAATTAAGTGGAAGGCCTTCAGAGTTCCTTTTATGGGTGTTGTGTTTGGTGAGGTTCAAGGTGCCAGCATCGAATCCTGGATTTTTAAGAAAGTGTAAAATACTGATGTTTTTTCTCCTGGTCAGAAAATTCCCTGTTAGACTGGAAGGTCTGGGTCAGTGATACCAGTATGATTTAGCAACCTACAGCAATATTACCAGAAGGCAAGAATTGATAATTGTCGTAAATGCCTTACTGCATAAATGAATCTCCAGAGATCACCAACCTTTAGTGTTAACTGACGAGGGGATTTTGGAAAGGAGATACACGAAGAGCGTTTATTAGTGCTTTCTTTTTGTGGTTTTGTTGA